GGGAAAGGACACGCTTCAGTTTCTTTTAAACAGGTTTAAAATTATTGGACCAAAAACATCATGTCCATTACGCAATGTTAATTTCAAGATCAGGCAAATTGTTCTTTTTCTCGTTCGGTATGCTTTCTGACTTGATCGTGATGCGTGCGCACTTCCTAGCAGTGAAACATATTTAAAAAGAATAAAAAGTAAATGCAGCTTCCGGATTGATTGGACACGTGCACTGTGTCCTCAGCTGTGTTGCGATCGGTCTCGATCAACGCAACGGCAAATTGCAAAAAAAATACCAGTTTTCTTTTTTCTTTTTTTTTTTTTTTTTGAGGGGGCCGGTGGGGGGGGTCGTTATATTTTGGTTCACCTTAAGTTCAGGCGCAACCGACGTTATGAGTTAATGGCACCAATCAGACAGCATCAAAAGCGCATCATCATGAAATTCATCGTGTCTCTGTTCTTTCATGCTGAACCAATCATGAAGAAAAAAAGGCCATGTGCCCTTCGCTTTTGACGCTGATTGGTTGGTCTTCTTACCTAGTAGCGTCGGCTGCTTTTGGACTGAAGCTGAAACGAAATATAGCGCAGAAAACCGAAAACGAACGCGTTTTTTTTTTTAATTTTTTATATGGTATAATATTAGGGCTTAATTCTTAAGGGTAGAAATTGTGTAAAGACGGAACCGCCCGCCTACACGTTTTGATGTTGTGTGCGCGTGTCTTGCAGGCATCGTTGCTAAGCAAAACAGAATGTCGTCGCACGTATCTTACGTTTCATGTTCTTTATGCTTACAAAATGAAATTAACGTTATAGCGACTCGATCAATTCCGTCTGCTAAAATTTCTGATGCGATTTTACTTTGAGAGCTATTCATCTTTCATCTTTCTGTAGCAAGCCAGAGAAGAACAAAATGTCACCCAATCATATTCTCAGAGCTCTCTGGGCCTTATAATTATTAATTTGTTGAAAGGTACAATGCAGTAGTTCATTTTGTGGCTGCCAGGAAGATCAACAGAATACACGCTACAGCTTTCCCACACTATCGCGCTTTCAGAGAGAAGTTGTTTTAACGTGAAACGTTCGTTGATTAGGTGTTCGGCATTTCGGGAAGCCTAAATAAAAGCGTGACCGCAAAGCTCGACAGTGATTGGTTGACGAGTGGGAGAGGACGAGTGAGGTGCTTGACGCTGATTGGCTAACGGGGAGGTCATGTGACCAGAAGAGTAGGCGAGGATGAACTCGACCACCTGTGCGCACTGAGAGAGATAATAATAATAATATTATTATTATTAATATTATTTATTTTATGTGCCATAAAGCAACCACGCGGGTCTTCACATTGGCACAAACAAGATAAAAAAGAGATACACAACACACGCACAGCATCAAATGTACAAATTAACATGACTACTAATAGAGGGTACATTCACACAAAATGTAACAGTTTCAACTTTCAACTAGACTTGCCAAGTTCCGGCGAAAAACTGGGAGATCTGTGAAAATGTCCAAGCTAGAGGATGCGATTTTATTAAATGAAAGTTGCACACGGGACAGTGGTGACAGTCTGGACATGGATTGAACGTAAGAAACAGTAACATTTCTGGTAACGCGACAAGGAACATGGAAATCAACAGAATTCAGAAGTAGGCTAGCATCAATCCAACCATTTAACCCCCTGTGCAAACAAATAATAAGATCACGCTCGAATGTTCTATTTGACAAAGACCTAAGTAAAACATTATGAAGAAGAAATTGATAATAATAAATAATAAAATCGACGCTGAAAGTGTCGGTCATATAAAATGTGTATCATTCTTTTTTGGGCTGATTCAATGCTTAAAGACTGTGTGCGTGTTATAGGATTCCAGACCACTCTCGAGATCAGCTCAAGAATATAAAAGGCTCTGGAAGATTACCAGGCTTATCGGCCCGATTAGTGGTAGTATCTCTTCATTCTAAAAACAACTATTTAGTGTACAAATGGTACTCGTAAAACTATTTGATGGAGAGTGCCGGCAACATAGGCATCTGCCTTCTGGAAACTGAGAGTATCGCTAAACGTTTATGATGCCGGTTTTGGGGGTTGGGAAACAAGACAGCGCCAGGTTGCTGTACTGTACTGGTCTTGCGTCGGTTCTTTAGGTTGAGATAAGGTCAGGCCAAATGCATGCTACACAAATTCGTGCATGGCACTTAACACGGTCGAACGAATATTTTCAAAGCAGCTAACATGCAGAAATCGCCTTTCGCCCAGCGCAATGAGGGACCCTAATGTTTGGTGTTATGTTCCATCTCGGGAATTTTGTGCGGCGTTGCGAAATGAATACCAACGAACCTGTGACTTCTGAAATATATATATATATTTCTTTTTTTTTTTTTGCATCGCGATATATCCTCGCGTAAACAAAGCATTATGAGAGTCCACGCTCTCGCGTCCGCGTTTTTTTATACCACTGGGCACAACTTGTGAAGTGAGAACTGGCGCCGGCGTTGGGAGCAAACGCCGGGCAAGATCGGACGTCCTCTTTTCGCGATATATCCTCGCGTAAACAAAGCATTATGAGAGTCCACGCTCTCGCGTCCGCGTTTTTTTATACCACTGGGCACAACTTGTGAAGTGAGAACTGGCGCCGGCGTTGGGAGCAAACGCCGGGCAAGATCGGACGTCCTCTTTTCGCGATATATCCTCGCGTAAACAAAGCATTATGAGAGTCCACGCTCTCGCGTCCGCGTTTTTTTATACCACTGGGCACAACTTGTGAAGTGAGAACTGGCGCCGGCGTTGGGAGCAAACGCCGGGCAAGATCGGACGTCCTCTTTTCGCGATATATCCTCGCGTAAACAAAGCATTATGAGAGTCCACGCTCTCGCGTCCGCGTTTTTTTATACCACTGGGCACAACTTGTGAAGTGAGAACTGGCGCCGGCGTTGGGAGCAAACGCCGGGCAAGATCGGACGTCCTCTTTTCGCGATATATCCTCGTGTAAACAAAGCATTATGAGAGTCCACGCTCTCGCGTCCGCGTTTTTTTATACCACTGGGCACAACTTGTGAAGTGAGAACTGGCGCCGGCGTTGGGAGCAAACGCCGGGCAAGATCGGACGTCCTCTTTTCGCGATATATCCTCGCGTAAACAAAGCATTATGAGAGTCCACGCTCTCGCGTCCGCGTTTTTTTATACCACTGGGCACAACTTGTGAAGTGAGAACTGGCGCCGGCGTTGGGAGCAAACGCCGGGCAAGATCGGACGTCCTCTTTTCGCGATATATCCTCGCGTAAACAAAGCATTATGAGAGTCCACGCTCTCGCGTCCGCGTTTTTTTATACCACTGGGCACAACTTGTGAAGTGAGAACTGGCGCCGGCGTTGGGAGCAAACGCCGGGCAAGATCGGACGTCCTCTTTTCGCGATATATCCTCGCGTAAACAAAGCATTATGAGAGTCCACGCTCTCGCGTCCGCGTTTTTTTATACCACTGGGCACAACTTGTGAAGTGAGAACTGGCGCCGGCGTTGGGAGCAAACGCCGGGCAAGATCGGACGTCCTCTTTTCGCGATATATCCTCGCGTAAACAAAGCATTATGAGAGTCCACGCTCTCGCGTCCGCGTTTTTTTATACCACTGGGCACAACTTGTGAAGTGAGAACTGGCGCCGGCGTTGGGAGCAAACGCCGGGCAAGATCGGACGTCCTCTTTTCGCGATATATCCTCGTGTAAACAAAGCATTATGAGAGTCTACGCTCTCGCGTCCGTGTGTTTTATCCCACTGGGCACAACTTGTGAAGTGAGAGCTGGCGCCGGCGTTGGGAGCAAACCACGGGCAAGATCGGACGCCACCTTTGACCCAAACTCCGCCGTGCACTTTAGGATGTTTGAATTATTAAATGGCAGTTCTATCGAATAATCCGTGAACCCAGACCTTTGTCGCAACTTCTGGAGATGCGCTAACTACGTATCGTATTGTTGAAGGTAAATTGAAGAAGTTCTTAAAAAAACTCGAGTTAGAGATTAATACTATAGTCGGGGACAGGTCAAGAAGGAAGTGGAAGCTCCTCCCACCCCTTTCCACTTTAGTAGTGCGAACGCTGGAGAGAAGGCGACCTCCTCTCTACGTTCGCTCCGCTGAAGTGAAAAGGGGTGGGAGGAGCTCCACTTCGTTCTTGACCTGTCACCGACTATGAAATATTTGTATCCCGTGAATCCGAATATCACGTTTCCTTTTTCCGAAGATGTGACTAAATGCGAGAAAACACGAAAACCCTCCGACCAGTCGTTACGTCATAAAAGGATCTTTCGACCGCCAAGTGCGTTTCGCTCGTGTCGGCAGCGCCTACAATTGCAAGCTTGCCAGGTATTCGCCATTTTGTGTTCGGCTACAAACGCAGTGGCGCCACCTACTGGGTATCCCCGGCACACTTCCGGTTCACATATAGTTTCTCATATTCTACTCAGCATTCCTTTATCATAAGAGTGAATTAAGCCTGGCGGTGCTATCAGTGAGCATTTCCAGAAAACAGCGTGTATATTCGATTTCACAAATAGTGCAAAACCCGCGGTCTAGTTCAGAACCGGAAGTGGTTGTCTCCCATTTGCACACTGGCGCCACCATGTTTCAACTCACGCGAGAAAGAGCGAATATGCCCACGCACTAACACCAGTCATGACGTCTTTTTCTGGCGTTTTTGAAAATAGCAAGAGCACGCGTGCATAGAGAGCTTTGACGGGCGCTGAAGATGTGCGAGAGCGCAGAAGCCGAAAACTTTCGATATGACGTCACGCTCCGGGAAAGGAGAGGCTTCAACGATACTTTGAAAATGATTTCCTGCAGCCTCCGTGTACTAAATGAAAAAAATAATCTCAATATTCGTGATACTGGGGGCCAAACGAAAGCGATTTAAGATTTATTTCCTTAACTACAGAACGCCTTCAGTTTCTCTTTAAATATACAGCTTCACAGCCCACTTAATCTCTCGCTAACCTCGTGACCTCTCTCTTCTCTTTTCGAACAGCCGCATTATGAGTGTGAACAGCGCGGACGAGTTCTACAGCATCATGGGAGTGCTCACCCGGGAAATGGTCGAGTTCGGACTCATGGACGCCAACGAGCTCGTCAAGGTGAGCGGGGCACGTGACGTGTAGCACCAATATTCATCTACGTTCCATCTCACAAGTTGTTTTGGGGGCTGACTGTATTTCATTTCACTTCAAGTCCGACCGTAACCGACGCTACGATTCAAATTAGCCAATCAATCAGCATTAAAAAGTGCATCGTCACTGCGCTCGTCGACTGAGGGCGGACTTAAAGCGAAACGAAGTACAGACACTTTTAAAGATGCGCCAGATTACAGCCGCCATTGCTGACCTTTCTTACCGAGATTCCGAGCCACCGAAACGGGCGTGGACGAGCCTCCGCAAAAGGTCAATGCTGGGAAGAAGAACCAAACAGAATCTAAAATTACAAACACCCGACCTACTATGGTAATGATGAAGTGAAGTAAACGGGGATAAGAGGAAACAAAAACCGAAGGTCGGTTATAGCGGCGCCCACGAACAGCCGCTTAAAAGCGTCTATAGACCGACAGACCGTGCACAGACAAGTCGGCGTTTACCCGCACCAGGTGTGGGCACTGCGCGCGCGCAGAAACGCGTTCTCTCTCTTGAGAAGAAGCCTATACGCATGCGCAATACCGACAGCAGCGCCACCGCAGTGCCGTGACGTAAAAGAGTTGAGTCGGTGTATATAGACCGACATGCTGTTTTCAAACAAGCCTGCGTTTGCCCACGCCAGGTGTGGGCACTGCGCGTGCGCAGAAACCAGATTAGCGTGAAGTGAAGCGTCCGCGCATGCTCAGTGCCGTCGACAGCGCCACCACACCTCCGTGACGTCAGGGCCGCGTGTTGGTCAATAGAGCTACTCTAATCATGTGCGTTTAGAGTATCAGCACTCTATTCCGCGATCTCGCGGGCGCCGCCATTTTGGTGTCAAGTACAGTGCTGGCGCGATTGGGGGAGGTTTACGATATGAAAATAAGCCTTTTTGAGCTTGGGATAGGGTGTCGGGAAGCTCGGGCGATATTCTTTTGCTCTGCCGCTGACTGCGTTAACGTCTGTGGAGGACGGAAAAAGCGCTTCCTGCCATCGCAACTATCGCGCCAAAATAACTCTGGCAACACTGATTTTAAGCACCAAGATGGCTCGAGTGTCGTTCCTCTGAAACGTAACTCATTTAGAGGCTCTAGGCTCGTATTCACCTCTAAAACCGTAGTAAAAAAATCTCGGCTTCTCGCGGAACAGTTCTGAATTTCTCCTCGGTGTGTCGAATGAAGATATATGTATGTCCATCTTAGATTATATATATTTCGTGGGATTCACGTGCTGATTCCCTAGCCGCAAAATTGTCGCAAATAGTTGGACTTGTCTATCGTGATCGGCATATACTGCAACAAAATATTATGTTTTTGATTTATAACAGTTTGTTGTTATCCAAGCCTAACTACTGTCATTCAGTCTGAAAATCCACAACACAAAAAGTTTACAAAAAAGTCATGTTTTGAAAAACTGTTCCTAAAGCCACACTGCTCAGACCACTGTACAAAAGACAGTCTGCAAACACGAGCCACCCAAATTGACTCCGTAAGTGTGACGTCATGGGTCCAAACAAACCGTTGCTAGGGTCGTTGTTATGGACAAATACATGGGGCTAGGTTTCGCTACGAAAACACGACCGTTCAAAAATCAGGAGTAGGATTTAAACTTTGAAAAAACACAGATATAGAAAGCTTGAATGTCATTTATGTTTCGACAGAAGTGTGCCGGTAATCGCTTGTTCCTGAAATATCTACGACTGCAACTTCCGATCCTCAAGATGCCTGCAGCAGACGACGAATGCGAGTAGTACGCCGTATGCCCACACGCCCGCCGGCCAAGCCGGCGCCGGCGTCTGAATCGTGTGAATAAAAACAATATCCTGAGATTGCATTTGTTTGAAATATAATGAGTTTCAGAGTGTTATAAAAATTCATAGTGGGGTGCGATGCAAAATATGGTTTATCGAAAGTCCGGTCGTCGATCGAGATGATCGTCTGCTAAAAGATCGCATTGAACCGGTGAGAAAAGCACTTCAGGCGATCGGATGACATCCCAAATTTTGTTTGCGGACTACCTGGTTGTTCACATCGCGTGGAGAAAGATTCTTGCAGTTTCTCCAGATTTCCGAAAGACTCCAAAGCGCGAAAGACCTGGATAAAAAACATAAGGTGAGTTTATTACAGTTTGTACTCGCATCGCGGGTTCGATGGAGATCTTCACCAAAAAAGCACATTCAAGGAATTCGATGTATACCAAGGGAGAAAAAAAAGAAGCGAGATACTGCGAAATCGCGATATACATGCAATTCTCTTATAACCTGACAACCTCAATGATAAAAATAACAAACTACCTACCTCGACGGCGTACGATTTGTTTCCCATGCTGGCCTGCACTACGCCGGTAATGCACTTCAGGTCGTCGTCGTAACTGATCTGCATGACGTGGTGTGATTTGACGGCATTTTCACCCTTCTGAACTAAGCTGGGTTCTTCACAGAAAAAAAGCGCGCATTGCGGATGCCTCTACGGCCATGGCGATGCACTTGTTTTTGTCGCTCGTTTACCGACGCAATTCAATGAAGACGCCCGCTGCAACAGAGGCCAGCAAATCTATCGTGTCGTCTGCTACCAAAGCAAAGCGGGGTGCAATACATCAGAAATGGCTTTCATCGTTGCAATACGACACTGAGACTACAACAATATCTTCATAATTAAGATATCAAGAAGTTAGGTGTCTTACAAAAAAAAAATTATTTACTTATTTGTAAGCAAAAATCTAGCCTCATGTGGAGTGTCCATGCATTAATCCATAGCAACGTCCCTAGCAACGGTTTGTTTGAACCCAGACGCCATGTTGTGACGTAGTCACTTACGGGGTCAGTATCCGTGGTTTGAATGCCACGGTCCAATTATTACTCCTTGAACTCATTGCCATGCGGCATTCGAAGCACGGATCTCACAGTGACTCGAGTTTGAGTCTGTATGCACACCGTCTTTTGTGTGATGTACAAGCAGTGGGACCCCGGCTTAAGAGTTGTGGAAAATGTTCCTTCTTACTTTCACGCATTGTCCATAAAATATAATTTATTACCAATTCCAAATGTACGACTATTAACTTTGTAAGGCAGTTAAACAAGAAGTCGAAACTAAATCATCGTTTTTAAATGAACTAGCTAACTTGCAAAGTATGTGCCATAGTGAGTCTTGGAAAGTTAGCACTCGTAGAACAATCTGCGGGCAAGATATCCTGAAAAACAAACTGCCAAGATTACTAAATGTATTAAGTGCCGAAAATGTAGATCTAATAGATATCACGTTTATAAAATTGCGTAGTTATTTCAACCCCAATCTACTTTTTTGTTTAAAAAAACTGCGTATTATTAGTAAATTTTGGGCGCTGTTGTGCATATGCAGCCTCTTCTCCTTTTTCTGCTTCACTATACCTTAATAGATATCTTTCGTCTGTGTGGTTATATGTGTCCATTGTTGATTCCTTTCTTTTTTTTTTTTTTGAAATGCTGGAAATTGTTTTGTATGTTCAATGTGGTGTCCTGTGACTTTGTCAAGCGCTCCTTGTGACAGCTTTTTCCCCAAGACTCCAGTATCCTGTACGGCGTACCTAATGCAAAACGTAAACATTAAACATCAGTCAACACAATGTGACGGAAGGAACGTACCATTCCCGGATTGCCAAGCTCCCAGCAGCAGTGGTTGGTCTTTCGGCATTTCTAGATGGCTCGCGAAGTACAAACGACTCTACCGCTGACTAAAACCCCCTTTGCGCGGAAAAGTAACGACTTCCTGGAAAGAATGCCGCCAGCTTCCTCGGGACAATCCAGGCGTCGTCATCGTATAAGCCCAAAAGTAAAACAGCAAAAAAAAAAAAAGTATATAGATGATAAAAGTGTGCGCGGTGGCGCATGAGTAATGAGAAACGGCAAAAGCGCGACGTTCATAATTTTTCTTGAAGCATGCTCTTCGCAGCTAATCTAATCATGCTCAGAAAGTGCGCCATGAAAGTGCACTTGTAGTGGTGTTTCCGTGTTTATTTTTGCCTTTCACTACGCTCTTACTGTATTCCAAACCAAGCGTGAGATTGCCCCGAGTTATCTTGGGGCAATTAAAATGGCACGCAAGGTGAGGAGAAAGAGGAGGGAATTTTTTTTCAAAAGCTCGAGTCCGAGCCGTCTTAATCGGTGAGAGAGAGCAAATGATAAAGATAAAAAGAGTTTGCGCAACCGGAAAGAACGGAGATGATGTCTTTACTTTTCTGTTCAAGAAGTTTACCACTAACATAGCAAGCATGGAAAGCTGCGTTCAGGCCGTCTGCGTTGGTTTTATCTGGTGGCACTAAGCGCGGCGTCTCACATATATCTCGTCACGACTTACGACACGCACGTTTTTACAGCGAAGCTGCTATTTGCTAGGATCTGTGAAAAAAATGCGTTCATGTATGTTAACAAAAAACTCCCGTGAGTCAGCCTTGCTTGGCATTATTAGACAGTGAGGTCCTGATCCCTTGCTGTCATCTACGGTCACCGACCTATCTCGGCTAAGAGCGCGCTGTGACGAGGCTGAGGGCAGAACGCGCCGATCTAACCTCCTTTTCTTTCGCTTCCGCGATGCTGATAAAGAGACTTGGGCTCAATCGGAAGAAAAACTGTCCTCGAGGAGTGCCCCGAAAAGTTGGGTTTAGAACTTGCCCATAAGTGACCATAAGGCAATGATCACTTTAGTCACTACGAATTAAATAACGAAGTCGTCTACGTGTCTTCATTGCAGTCATATGTAAATGGTATAGACGTCGTAAAGTTGTCGGAAAGATAACAGCTTCGCTGGTCCTCCATTTCACGTGAAGTCATTTCACGTGAAGCGGATGGGCTCTACTAAAGCCCCTCGATATGTTTGCGTTCGGCTCTACAACTTTTTTTTTCAAGAAACAGAAATTTGCGTTTTTAATGCAGATGTGCATTTTAACGGAAGTCAATTCACATTTCGCGACCGTGTGGAGCGTGGCGTGGCACAAGT